GAGAGAGAGAGAGAGAGAGAGAGAGAGAGAGAGAGAGAGATGGAATTGGGAGGAGGAACTAACCAAGAGCGAAGGGGGAAGGCGATTCAAGGCACTATGCTTTGCTTTTGTGGAATTCCGGCCAAGATATCTCAAGCTTGGACAGACATGAATCATGGTCGAAGGTTCTATGGCTGTGAACGATACAAGGTACAAGGAAGCTGTAATCTGTTCTTATTTTGAGTTCTTTGGGTTGTTAATTTTGTGTTTGTTGTAGGGTGGAGGTGAATGCAAATTTTTTCAATGGTTTGATGAGGAAGAGCCTTTTGGATGGCAAAAGCAAGCTTTGATTGAAGCTAGAAATGAAATTCGCGAGAAGAATAAGACTATTGCAGAACTGAAGAAGATAATTACTGAACTTCGAAAGTGATTTGCTCAAAAAAGAAGTAGAAGAAGACATAATTAACAACTTTCTTAAGCTGTGAAGTAGTTGTTTAGTGTAATGCTTAAGACATGATAATATCCTTATGAAGCTTTGTAAATGTGAACATCAAGTGTTTGGTCTAAAAATGTTTGTTTCCTTTTGTCATTCGAGGATTAGATTACATATTGCCTACTGTTTTGAGCAAAGAAGGTGAGAGTTATACATATCTTACTTCACTGTTTTGCATCCAAAAGACAGCAACTCCAACAAATTAAGAGCTTTAGCTCACTGTTTTGCATCCAAAATATTATACATATCCGAGAATACACCTCAAACATCCATCCATACAAAAGATATTGTGAGAGTTAGACTTCAACATCCATACATACAAAAAACAGTTTAGTGCAAATCTAAGTTTGTGTTGCAGCTGGTGTTGTCGAGGAGACATCCACAATGGCTTGTTCTTCAGCTTGTTGTTCCTTGTTTAAACGCCTACGCTTGGCTCTGTTTTCTTCAGACTGCAACAAAAGAGAATGAATCAATGCAAGGAGTACAAAAACTTGACAATACAATGAGAATATACCTCGTGAAGACACTTCCTTGAGTTGTGGTCTTCACCACCACATAGACCAGAATGACCAATCCTCCCTTCACGACCAACTCTGGTCGGGTTTTTCTTGCTTTTCTTGGGAGATTCACACACGCCTTCAACTCTTGCTTTTCCTTTTGGTCTTCCAGGAGGTCTCTTGTAAGGAGGTGCTTCAATGCGTTCTTCACCAGAATTCTTCCAAAACTTTGGACCATTTATAGGCTTCAACCCATGGGAGTATAAATCTTTCCACTTCGATGTAAGATAGTAATCTGAAATGTAATCTTCAACCTCCAAACCATTCTCACGGATAGCCGATACGGCATGACGACATGGAACTCCAGTCAAGTCCCACTTCCTACAAGTGCAGCTTCGAGAAGGCAAGCTCACAATGTAACCATTTCTAAACTCAACTATCTCAAAATCTCCATCTACACTAGAGTAAGAATAGCAGTACTTAGCTTCATCACACGACTTTTCAACCTCCTTTCTAGCCTTCTTCGTGAAGAGACATGTCTCGTTGGTGGCAGTCTTCAACCTAGTAGCTATCCTCTGCATATCATCCCTTCTAATCAACTCAAGCATCTGAATAAATGGCTTCTTTCTAGCTATCTTCATAGTCCTATTGAAAGACTCCGTGAAGTTGTTGTGTGTATCAGAACAAGATGACCCAATCCGTAAAAAAGCTCTACACCAAGTTCTTTTATCCTTCTTCAAGAGCTCAATAGCCGCCAATGGATCAAACTCTTTGAATTTTTCTAAATTCCTATCATAGCCAGCTTCAGTATAGCTACTTGCTATACACCAGAACAGAGGCTTCAACGTATCAGACTTGTGACTCTTCTTCAGGTTAGAGTAAATGTGCCTCGCACAAGCTCTATGTTCGGCTCTTGGCAACTCGAATGCAACTCCATGAATCAGCCCCTTATGTTGATCTGATATGATGGTCACTTCCTCACCATTACCCAAACCCAAATCAATCTTCAATCTATTGATAAACCATACCCAATTATCATTGTTCTTTCCACTGACCACAGCCCATGCAATAGGGTATATCTGGTTGTTTGGGTCTATTCCAGCGGCAGTAAGTATCATTCCTTGCAAAGAGCTGTGCTTGAGGAAGGTTCCATCCAATCCAATCACCGGTCTGCAGTTTGTCTTCCATGCCACACGCAGCTTATGGAAGCATAAATACATCGAGCTAAATGCTTTAGCTCCACTCGGCTTTGTTGTTGTATTAATCTCTATCTTGCTTTCAGGATTAGAACTGCATATAAACAAATGAAAAGAGTTACTTAGAGGTCCAATAAACTGCATATAAACAAATGAAAAGAGTTACAAAGAGTTAAACAATTTACCGTAATAGCTCCATCTCATAATCTCTTATCCTTGCAAAATGCTCATTGCATTCTGCATGAAACTTATCAAGAACAATACGCCTAGCAATCTTTGCCTGCTCAGCCGAGATGATGATGTTGAATTTATCCCTAAACTCCTCTCTAATCTTTGGGGCACTCATCTCAGGTTCCTTTCTGATTTTTTTCTAACATAATCTCGGCAATGGTAGGGCTTTTGATGAGCTTACACTTGCCTGTGGGATGACAAGTATGTTTGTTGACATACACTTTCACCATCCACGGCTTGATTGGCCTCTGTACTGAGCAGTAGATACGCCATACACAACCTTTACCATTGCATTTAGCACCAATCGTTGTCTTCTCCCATCTGTCAAAGACCACATTTCTTCTTGTCTTGAGAATATATTTAATAACTTGCTTCTTGAACTCTTCACCACTGTAAAAAGTTTATCTAAGACTAAAAACCCCGTCTAACTCACCCCTTTGATCCATCCTCTCAGCTTGTTCCTCTTCATCATCGGATGAGTGCTCAGTGTCAGGATAAACCTCATCTTCGTCTACAATCTCATCCTCATAGTTCTCATTCCTAAAGATGTCCAGATCCTCTTCAAAATTTCTGTCGAAATCATCTTCATTATCAGATGCATTACTAGCTTGATACCCATCTTCACTCTCTTCAACTTCTTGATCAGCATCATAAGTATCATCTCGTTGCTCATCATCATTCTCGTCACCATCAACAGCTTGTTGCTCAGCCACTACGTCAGTCTCTTCACCATGTTTCTCAGTCTCTATCACATGAACAACATCATGTTCTATGAAGACATCGAGCTCCCTAAACCTACGACCATTAGCAATCATCTTCCTCTTATTTTCCTCTCTGTTTTCACCCACATTCTTCTTCTCTGAGTTATCTTCATATGGTAACTTGTACCACATCTTCTCTGTACTAACTATCGGAGCCATCTTCTTGTTAATTTCTTCTAATATAGCATCACCATCGACTTCAAACTGCTCTATCAGACCATCGACATAATTTAGCTTTCCATCTTCTTCAATTTTGAACACACCTGAATCGAAACAATTGATCTTCACTGAGATTGCATCACTGTTAGAATAATAGTGAGAATCAAAGACATTGACTAATTCAAGTAAACAAGCTAGGGTTAACAGAAGATTACCTCATTGTCACCTTCTTTCTTCAATCCAACACAATCGACTCTCTTTGTCTGTCCAATCGATCATCACTCTGTCTCTCTAAACGAAGCTCACTCTCTTTCTCTCTGTAATCGACTCTCGCTCTGTCTCTCTAACCCAATTCCATCTCTCTTGCTCTCTCTCTATTTCTCTGTTGAAATCCCCAATTATCTTATGAACCCTAGAAATTCGATTTGGGGAAATAAAATCGGGTTTAGTCACACGGGTTTGGTTATTGAAGTCGACTCGAGTCGGATTTATCTTATTTGGGGATTAACTTTAGAAATTACGTAATGACTCCAATTATTTATCTAAAGATCAATTAAGTCTAATCATGATGTCGCCACCATATCAATTGAAAGTTTGTATGTGTAGCATGTATTAATATAAACTCTGTGTAGGTATTGACACATTTTAATAATTGGGATGGTTTCCACTATATTTTGGTATACTCTGTGTAGCTGGCAAACTTTTTTCCAAATAAAAAAAATTAGACGATAGCGGATTGTACTAGAGACCCACCAGGTAAATATGTGTTTGTGTTGGCGACTGATTTCATAATTACAGAACCTGAACAACTTTATATGTATATGGTTAATGCTCTCTGCAATCTCAACAAAAGGGTTTTTTCCGTGAATCTAACAGAAACGGAGGACTTGAAAGTTATGATTACTTGTTACAATCGAAAAGACTGAGTTCATAAAGCGAACCCAGATGCGAGATGTTACTGATAGCAAAAAGAGTGTGGTTTGTCTCTGAAATCTCAGAGGTCAAACATCGACACGAAGAAGAAACGAAGGAAAAACCCTAAATTCCGACGGGCCGAAAATCAATTATATCAAGTTGGACTTAAAATGAGAGCATGACCCATTTGCAATAACTCGCCGAAAAAAAAATATTGCGTGAGAAACACAACACCAACCACAATACAACACGTGGCGACAAAACCCCCATCTAAAAAGTGACGTGGATAGTCTGAAAGGACAGATAACTCAACTTTATTAGTATAGATAGATTTGATGTTTAGAAGGAAAAATGGAATACCATTAGAGATGCTCTAAGGCCAATGTTTCATTCGGCTTGGTCCAGAACCGCATCTGGTTTATCAGATATATTTTTCATACTTCGAAAAAAACTTATATCGCATACGCATAACCTGAAGACTATCCACGTAGTTCGAGGGTCAGGTAAACATCTTAAGAAATTTCATGCCTACCAGCTACCTAAAAGCAAATGCCTGCTTGTGTTTAGTGCCCCGTGCATGATAAATATTTTTGCGCGCTCTAGACATCTTGATCATAAATTCACACTTCACTTACGAAACTGGTAAGAAAGGTGGCTATTGTTGGAATTGGTAACCCGCTTCAGATCCGGTCCAAGATCCCAATCTACAAATAGTAGAGCCCAAATCAATTTTCACCAAAGACCCAAGAAGAAATAATAAACCCCTTGAGGTTAAGCCCACCCGAGATGGAGAAATCTCGAACACCGAGCTCGGTTGATCAAATAAAACGTAAAAGAAATCAAGGATATTAAAGACCTTCATAAAGACACTTGATACACGCCGGTGATCACGTCGTTGTTATGACCCACCTTTGAAGACCTATAAGAGTAAGAAGAAAGGCCAATGAAGGGGGATCCGATTCTTTGCATAGTGAAACAATAGCCTCAATACATTGATAATCTCTTGTTTTATTGCACCCTCTTTATTCATCGACAACCTCATTACTAATAAAATATACACTTCCCATAGTTTTTTATAGCTTTGACTTTCGTTTTTGAGATAACTTATAAAATAAGTTTCTATAAATATAAACCTTATTTCTAAGTGGACTTTAGATCCAACATTTGGCACTAGAAGGAGGGAAAAATTCAACAAATATATTTCTTTGGATGTCGACATGAAACACAGAGTAAATTGGTTGCATTGGACACACTCACATGCGATGGAAGAAACTCGAATCTATACGATTCCCCGAGACTTGGTCTGGACCAAAGTCGAACTCAAAACCATGTAATCCCAATTCCATCAGGCCACTAGCTCAGCTCCCAAGGTGGACAGAGTTATAGAAGGGATCCAGAGAACATTGTTCATTGATAAAATCACTAGCAATCCCATTTTGAACATAAAGCTCAAGATCATGTTCTTCGAAGAAAAAACCGATCTCGAGCTCCCAAAAATAAATTTAGATTGAACTATTTATAAATTAAATATTTTCAATAAAGTATTTTAAAACACTATAATTACTGAAACATAAATACTAATCAAAATTAATGGTGGAAACTAAGTTATTAATAAGTCTAACTCTAACATATATAAAAACTTAAAATTAATGTTATAAAATATTTCAATCTTTTGATTTTTTCATGAAAGAAAAAACATCAAATAAAAACGTGATTGTGCACGGGTCCATATCTAGTTTCTAATGCGTGAGATTTACCAATTCATTAGTCTAGAATCATGCACAAGAAGATTTACATATTCAAGTAGTACTGTTCATGTATATGAAGGATATAGAGATACGATTATATTGGTGCACAGCTTCAAACCAAAATCATAAAATGACATAGATGTTTGTTCATGGACAAAGCTAATCCAAACTAACTACATATTAATAACTAAATAGTTTTTTTTTGGTTAAATGTTAAGATTAATAGTTTTTAAGGGTTCGGCCTAGGAGGAGTGGGTCTGCAGAGGATGGGGTGTCTCTTTGTATCAAGAGTAACCATAGCCTTGGCTTGATACACAACAAGAGGCCCATCCGGCTTCTCCCTAGCCATAAAAGTAATGTATGACTTGGATCTTGGTCCTCCGCGATAATGACCTCTCACAATTTCAACGAACTCCACCTTGGGATCCTTTAACCACAATAAAAAAAAAATGATTCACTTTGTATTTGTACATAAAATTACTTGTATGAACAAAGGCAGAGAAACAGAACTAACCTTGTCTTGGTTGTGTCTTTCGAGACAGACATGAACCATCTCTTCCCAGTAATCACGAAACGTTCTGTCGGGATATGCCATCACGTCCATACTCATTGGACAGATTCCTTTGTAGTGATAGATATGCTTTAGATTTGTATCAGCGTAAAAACCCTAAACAACACAACACACAAGAGTTATTGTACTAATAATGATCTGATTCCACTCTAAGTTACATATGATTAAGAAAAAAAGGTCGTACCTTGCTGTCGATAAGCTGGCGTTTAATGATGTTATAGTCATGAATTGCTTCCTCTTCGTCGGATAAAGTGGAAAGCTGAACATCCGGTGAGGAGTAATACTCTACGCCATCGAAGCTGTCTACATCCCATTCAGGCGCCTGTAATATGTCAGGTTTCTCGCTCTCTTCCCATTCATCCTCCTCCTCCTCGTACTCCTCATCGTACTCCTCCTCCTCCTCGTACTCCTCAGGCTCGAATTCGGCCTTACGCTTTGAATTCACAACGACCTCCATGGGTTCTGCCGTCTCCTTCCTCGAATCTCCTTCTTTCTTCGTCTCCATCACTGCCTCCTCAAACCCTTGATCCCTCTGCTTCAATTGGGAAAGAAGTGAAAGCCAATATAAATAATGTTTATTTGTTTTCCTTTTTTTTTTGGCCTATTTGTATTCTTATTTGGATAAATAGAAATCTCACTTTTCCTTTTTTAAAAAAATTAAACGTGTATATATATACAATAAAACTCTATAAATTAATAATATTAGAACTATGATAATTTATTAATTTTTATAAAATATTTTTTTATTTTAAAAAAGGAGAAAATATTTTATTTCATGATGTTATATATTAGTTAAAACTTTACAGATTTGAATTTCTATCTATTTTATGAGATAATTTGATACATTTTATGTATGTTGAATATTGGAAGTACATAAATGAATTTTTATATGTAATTTGATAAAGTAACACCAAAATATCAAATGAAAAAAAAAAAATAGTGATACCATCCATTTTAGTGGTGGATTTGTTGAGCAAAAGTTCTTCACAGAAAAAATGACTCGTGCCACAGAATTTTAAGTAGCACAGATATTCTTGCACTATTGTTCACAATGATGTTGAAGAGAAGTAAGTAGAGAACGGTTTTAAACCTACCGATAAAAATATGAAGTGACTGTTGTTCATTCTGAGCAGAGGCGGTCCTAGATTTCTAAAGGCCACAAGCCCAGACAAAAGAAAAGGCTGAAATTAATGTGTGCAGCAAGGAGTATTCGAACCTTGGACTCCATGTAAAATAGGTACTGCTATTTAACCACTAGACTAAAGGTAGATTTTGGGAAAGATGTGGCCGGTTTATACCTTATTAAAATGGCGGCCGGAAGCCGTTGCTTCATCCGCTTTGTGCCAAGGCCGGCTCTGATTCTGAGATATTGTCCATATATAGGTCGGTGTCGGAGATTCCTTTCTATGAACATAGATTAGTGTTTCATGAACACAATTGAGAATTGGTTAAGTTTTCAATGAAAAATTGGCAATAACCAACATCCCGCTCTCTGTCATTAAACGAGTTTATCCCATTGCTATTGCACTTTTTTTTTCCACGAAATTTCATTTTATTAGATCGTATAAGGGTAACACAATAAGTCTATTAACCATGGAGGAGGACTATTAAAAAACATGAAAATGAATCAAAATCATGAGCATGTTTAGCTAAAGTATCTGCGGCTTGATTCCGTTCACGATTCACATACGTCAAGGAGCATTCCGGTAGTTTAGTCATCCAATACCTTATATCACAGAGAAGATTCCCAAGCTCCACATGACTTGTCACATTATTGATTATATGACACAACTCCTTATTATCACATTCAAACCAGACCTGACGCCATCCTCTTACCCACATTTTCTGTAATGCCATAAGAAAACTCTTTGCTTCCCCTTCCAAAGACGATGATTGCTTAGTTATTTGCATACCACCAGAACCCAGATATAATCCTTGGTAGTCACGTAAAATCCACCCAAGTCCAGCCTCCTGATTAGCACGAGCAGCACTATAGTCAAAGTTACATTTTACCCATCCCATCACTGGAGGTTCCCATTGTGAAGACTTAGGCTTTGATGCTTGTATTCCGGGATTTAGATTATTATGAGACACATTACCGTACCACTCTTCATTAGCAGCTACTGCTCGTTGAACGTCTTCAATTGGATGTACATTTCTTTTCATAAAAAGAAATTCATTTCTTGATTTCCATATTAGCCATATAATCCAGAAAGCTAACATCTGACTCTTATCACTTATTTCCATTGCCTCCATGATTATGAATAGAGTTCGGATATTTTCCTCTAGGTCTTCAGTAAATGTATGTGTTGGGAATAAGCCGGAACAACGCCATGTCGCAAGCGAGTGTGGACAAGTAAATAAAATATGGTTGATTGTTTCATCGTCCATACAACACCTTTGGCATGTTGGGTCAAGATTTATGCCACGAGAGCATAATCTAGAATAAGATGGAACAGCTCCAGATAACACTTTCCAAAGGAAATGTTTAATCTTTGGAAGAATATTCAGCTTCCATATCTTCCGTTTTAGCGCCAATGATCCTTCTGGTAGTTGAATCTCCCCCCCATCAGAATAATAATGTGTGATTGCCCAATACCCTGATTTGACGGTATACTTCAGATCCTTGGTGTAAGGCCAAATGAAGAAGTCCCTTGGAGAATACCGCGACAAATTGATCTTTTGTGCTTCTAGTACATCTTGTGGGTGCAGATACATCTCCAGTTTTTGGTTATTCCACGAGTAAGTATCTAAATCTACAACTCTGAAACCATAATATTGGGACCTAGACCATCTTGATGAACCCTTCGAGGAGGAATTGTTGGTAACCATTGATCTTGCCAAACATTGGTGTCTTTTCCATCCCCAATCATCTTGTGTAACCCTTGACAAAGTAGGTGTTTACCTACTTGAATAGACTTATAGCCATAGGAGGCTTGCTTAGGATTCAACGACTGTAAGAATGTCGTTGAATGATGATATCGACCTGTATAGATTCTACTGAGTAGGGAACTTGGATTTTGCCAAATGCGATTTGCTTGCTTTGCAAGCAAGGCTTTATTGAAGCTGTATAAATCCCTAAAACCCATACCACCTTCCTTCTTTGGTAAGCATAAACGCTTCCAAGATATCCAGGAGATATTCCTCCTATCAACTCCCTTCCCCCACCAGAATTCAGAGAGAATAGAGTTTATCTCCTCACATGTAGATTTAGGAAGAAGAAAACAACTCATCGGATAAACCGGTTTCGCCTGCAGAACTGATTTGATCAGAGTTTCTTTCCCAGCCGGAGAGAGTTGTTGATTATGCCAGTGAGATGTTAGAGCCTTTATGTGACCTACCATTCCTTCAAACTCCAGGACCCTACTTTTACCAAACTTCTCAGGCAATCCTAAATATTTCCCACCTCCACCTATCGTATGTATTCCCAAAAGATTTTGGATACGAGCTCTGCTTTGCTGATCAACCCTTTTACCAAAAATTATTGAGGATTTCTGTAAATTAACTTTCTGACCAGACGTCCGTTCATATAAGTCCAGTAGTGTAGCCATACACCTTGTATTTGGCTCATTAGCTCGACAAAAAAACAGAGAGTCATCGGAAAATAGTAGATGTGATACCCGAGGACAGTGACGTGATAGCTGCATTCCTTGAAACTGGTTTAGACGTTGTGCTTGGTCAATCATTTGGCTCAACGCTTCAGCACATAAGAGGAAAAGATATGGTGACAGAGTGTCACCTTGTCGAATACCTCTGGTTGGTATAACCTCACCAGAAGGGAGCCCATTAATCAGAATTAAATAAGAAACAGAAGTAATACACTCCATAATCCATGCAATACACCTTTCATAAAATCCAAGTTGTGATAGAATTTGGCTCAAGAATTGCCACTCTACACGGTCATAGGCTTTACTAATATCCGTCTTGATTTCCATATATTGTTCTGAACAATCCTTCTTTGATTTCAAAGCTGTGATTAACTCATGAGCCACGAGTATGTTATCAGTTATTTGTCGCCCAGGGACAAATGCAGCTTGTGATTCAGAGATTACCATACTCAAACACGACTGTAGACGAACGCCGAGAACCTTTGAGATCAGTTTATAAGTCACATTACATAGATTTATGGGACGGTAATCTTCCATTGCAGAAGCTTCAGGAAACTTAGCTAGCAAGAAGATGTTGGTGTGGTTGATTCCTTTCTCCATGATACAAGTATCAAAAAATCTCCTCACCATCTGACAAACATCATGACCAATACAATCCCAAAATTGCTTATAAAACGCGGCTGTAAACCCGTCTGGACCAGGGGCTCTATCTGATCCTATGAGATTTAAAGCTTCTTGGATTTCTTCATCAGTGACAGGAGCTATTAGTTTTTCATTCATCTCCATTGTTATTTTTGGCTGAATATTTGGTAAGCAGTCATCTCCATTGCTATTGAACTTTATATTCATTATTGCACTAAACTCGTTAGATTTACATTATTTTAAAACACTTTATATTCATTATTGCACTAAACTCGTTAGATTTTCAATCTAAACTCGTTAAATTTACATGCCTTACTAATTCAAGATTATCCTGATAAGTTACCGTTTATATTTTTAAAAGGTTTTTACCGAATACCAAATTATTTATATATGAAAAAATTATTCAATAATATATATATATATATATATTCATTATTGCATTACTCTCACGCATTAGAAACTAGATATGGACCCGTGCACAATCACGCTTTTATTTGATGCTTTTTCTTTCATGAAAAATTCAAAAGATTGAAATATTTTATAACATTAATTTTAAGTTTTTATATATGTTAGAGTTAGACTTATTAATAACTTAGTTTCCACCATTAGTTTTGATTAGTATTTATGTTTCAGTAGTTATAGTGTTTTAAAATACTTTATTGAAAATATTTAATTTATAAATAGTTCAATCTAAATTTATTTTTGTTCTATTTAAATTATTTTAAAATAATATTAGTTATAGATAATTACAAATATATATAAAAATATTGGTATACATCCTCCCCTATTGTTTCCATGGCTTAAAACAGTATAAAAAACACAATTCAAAATATACTCAATGCATAACTTTAATCAATTTTATTATGATAGTCAACTCAATATCAAATATCTTGTTGGGTAAACACAAAATTTATTTACCATAACATCAATATGGTGTGAGGTTTATCTCTTTCTCAATATATTTTAATGAAATCTTCTTGATAGTTTTTAAAAAATTATTATCATTATGTTTTGTGCTTATTTAAATAATCTGAAGTCCTAGGTCATAGTAATTTTTAATAGTGTGACAAACAATTTTTGTGAGGAAAGATTAGACTTGGCAAATATAAACTAATTTTGATAATATATCTTGATCTTGTCTCTTTGTTAATAAATTAATTTATAGAGTTTTATTGTATATATTCGTATATATATACACGTTTAATTTTTTTATTTTATAACATCATATTTCATTAATCATAGAAATGTTTGTACA